GCCATTCTGAGTCGGATACTATGTCTTACCAGACTGTGTGCATGACTTCATGTGCTCAGGCCAGTGTGCTTGTTGGCAGGGATAGTCGCAGTAGCTGGTGTTCCAACAGCAGTAGAAAATGGCCTCCTTTCTGCAGTTTGCACACCACTGCTTCTTTTTAGTTTCATCTATGGCCTGCTGTTTCTCCACCTCCATCTGCTTCTTGACCTCTGTCATGATCCGCTCTCGCTCCTGTTCAAGACTCTGCCTCATCTCTGCCATGGTTAGCTCTGAGTACATTTAACAAATGTGGACAAACAAAAATGCAGTCAGTATGGAATATTGATGCACAAGATATTGGACCCATATCAGTAGGGCCCTATGAAATCGGTTTAAATTTTTTCCAAATTCCATTATATTTTTTTCTCAAATTAAATTTTTTTCTGTTTTCAATTTTCTGGATTCAATTTTAATGGTTAAATTAAATTTTAGTAAACAAAAAGCATGTCTAGTTAATTGAAATCATAAAAATGTACAACAATTTATTAAAACTATAACAAAAATTTCATTTTTAGGGCCCTAAGAAATGTGTTTTATTTTTCCCAAATTCAGGTGAAATGCATGACTATGTGTAGTGAAGGAAACTACACTTTTTACACAAACTACACAAACTACTTTTAATTTATTGCTTTAGGCAGGCATCGGAAAATATCTTGCACATGGTCATCCCCTTCATGCTCATTTCATTATTGGTGCATCCCTACCTTAATTAAACTATTATCAGAAACTCACATACCTAAATTGTGCTTCATCTCTGATAATTCTTGTTGATGTAGCCACTGCAGTTTTTCAATTTCAATTCGCAACCGTCTTATCTGTAACAGGGCAAAAATGGCTGTTTTATTCATATTTTCAAGTTGTTAAATAACTCACCAACAGTGCTTTGCTCTTCTCCAGATTTACTTTACAAATACAAACCTCTGCTATTGTGTTTCCCGATGTGCCTTTGGAAAGGTCATTATATATCTCAGTCATCGTCCCTTTAACTGCATCCATGATCTGTTGGTCAAACACAACAATAATTATGTCAACAGAACAATTAAAATGGTTTTCATCTAAAGGTGTAGTTTGCAGCCCCCATTTCTTTTAGAAATCTCACTTTATTAGTGTACTTTGCTATATCAGCTGCTACATCTGCAGACGTGGTGGGGATCTGGAAGTCTCCAGTTGTGGATGTTGATGATGAAGAGGAAGAGCTGACGGTGGGTCCTGCCATCATGGTGGCCGATACCGGTGTGCTGGTCACCAGGGTGACGGCAGAGGTGGACGTGGTGTGTGTCGAGTCTTTCTGTTGCACTGCTGCAAGAACAAACCCAACAATAATGATATTTAAGTTTGGAATAAGATGTTTTTGAAAGTTGTCTCTTATGCTCACCAGAGCTGCATTTACTTGATTAAAAATAAAACGGAGTTATTTTAAATTGCAATAACATTTCACAATATTACTATTTTAATTAATTTCAAAATGTCATTTATTCCTGTGATGGCAAAGCTGAATTTTCAGCATCATTATTCCAGTCTTCAGTGTTACATGATCCTTCAGAAATCATTCTAATATGCTAATTTGGTGCTCAATTATTTTTTAATTATTATTGCTACACAATTCTTAATAATAGTTCTTCTTATTATAATGTTGTAGTTATTCTTTTTTTTTTTTTTATCAAATAAATGCAGCCTTGGTAAGCACGAGAGACTACTTTCAAAAATATTAAGAAACCTAATTATTCCAAACTTTTGACCGGTATTGTACATATGACATTTATAGTATTAATTCACATTGACTGCATACTTTTCACAGCCTGTCGTGTTTGGTATCTGGTGCTGGATGAAGGCTGCTGTCCCGACGAGGATGAGGAGACCTGCGCTTGCTGCTGCGGCTGTTGGCTGCGCTGCACCTGCGTTAACACCTGCGCCTGTGTGGCTGGTTGCGTTTGGCCCTGCTGCTGCTGCCTATGCACCTTTTGCATGTGCCACTTTTGAGAGGACGTCTGAAACTTGGTGGTGGGGTTCCACACGACGGCCTGCTGCACCACAGGTACAGTATCTCGGG